ATAGGAGAGAAAGAAGGGATTGCACAAGTAAAATTTTAATTCACTTCATAATGTTGGGACAATCAACAAAAGCTCACTTTAGCTTTTCAAAAAGAGTCTCGGCATGGTAATTGGACATCTTTCCAATTCACAATTGACTCATGCTGATAATAAATCCTAGACTTACATATCCAGTATCTACTTTTTAGCATTCATTGTCAGATTGTTTCAGTAATTTCAAACTTGAAAAACTAATAGCGGTACCTGGGAATAATTTTGAATTGCTCTATTGAAGCCACTGTGATAGGCATGTACAACCTCGTCAACAACATCCTCGATAACCTCACTCTGCTCCTTCAGAGCTTGTAATTCATCTTTTGCAGTCAACAAGCGAACCACATGAGGCAATGAATCAAATCGCGCTGCAGCCCAGCTTTCATCTATTCGTGCTAGGTCCTCTCTCAAATGCTGCGAAACCATTGAACCAAACGTAAATGCACGTAACAAATTTGGCATATTAACTCATGGTTACATTAAATCATGCCTTCCACAAATCCATGAACATCAGTACTACGTTCCAAATTTACAACTCTACTAGCTCAAGAAAAATTAATTCCGTGTTACAAACAGGTCGGTAAGAACAAGTAGCTTATATAGTTGTACGGTAACATTTTACTAGTAAGTAATACAAAGTGTCCAAAGCATTCCCAATACAAAATACTCCATAGTAGCTTTCATCACATAAAACATGAACAATAAAAACGAAAACCTACATTCAAAACCAGGAAAAAAAAAATCCAGCTCAATAAAATGTTGAACACTTACAGCTTTATCAGATGGGACAGGGAGCCCATCAAAAAGTCCCATCCCGAGCTCGGAATTTCCTCAATTGCAACTACAAAAACGTCGAAACACCGTGAATTCAGGGACAAAATCATAATCACAGCTCCAAACAAAAGCAATCCAACCAAAAACCAAACGAAAATAAGAAATGCGCATAATTAGAAGTATTGATTAACCCCAACAATTAACTTTCAATTCATCTATTTCCAAAATTGGCGGTGACAAGAAATTCAGTGTTTACAAAAATCAAATAGAAAGAGTTTCAATTCATCATACAACATTCAAAATCATGATTGCTGATAAAAATTGAATCGAATTGAAAGTGAAAGTATAGTTATAAGAAACAGATCAAAGAAATTGTTACATAATTGCAGAAATTGAGATCGAGAAATGTACCTAGAAATCAGCAACTGGCAAAATTGGAGAGAGAAAGTGTAGATTTTTCTTGTGGATGTATTCAATTGGGGAGAAAATTAGGGTATAGGGAATTGAAGAAATCGATTGAGAGCAGAGAAATTGAGGAATTTGACTATTGATTGAGGAGAAGCTTCATACTGTAAAATGTCGATTTAGTTTTTTTTTTTCTTTTTTTTTTTTCTTTTTTTTTTTCGTGTTGAATAATATTCACTGTAATTTTATAATTTTATTGAATTTTTTTCAACCTGAGGAACACGAATTGTAACAGTAATAAACAGAAATTTTAATTTTAATTCATTAATCAGCAAATTGTTTAGAAAAATACGAGTTTATGATCTTGATAAACACTACTCAATTGGCAAACTGGTGTTAAAAATTACAATTTTATCCGTTGATAAATCGAGACTCCTTCGAATTCTAGTCGGTTAAATCCAAGACCACTATAAATTTTTCAACCGATCTTTTTGTTTTGCTCGAATGCAATTAAGTTACAGATTTTTTGGTATAAAACTATACAATAGAATTCATACTTTTATATAGAGCTAGCAAAAGTTTACACAACTCGACAACACGACACAAATTGGACATGAAAAAAAGGGTTAGTGTCAAGGGTTTCCAAAACATTTAATTAAATGAATAACACGTTTATTAAATAGGTTGGGTTAGTGTTGAAGCTTCCAAACATGTTTAATTTTGAACACGAATACAAGCACGACACGACACGACACGATTGTCCCCTAGTTAGATATATAAATATACAAAGTAATAATAACTACCAATATAGAGTATTATAAATTTGCGTGACTCCTATACCCAACTAACAAACTAAGATGCTTACCAACTAACCATCATTGTTTTAGGCCAATATAAAAGTGTATAGGTTACCAAATTTACATTAGTTTGTAATACATGAAGTTGCCATCATTTTTATTTTAAGGGCCTATTCTCATTGACTGAACTTAGGGGTGTCCGTTCGGTTTTTGGTTTGGACTTAGTCCAAATTCGATCCAATGCAAAATATAATTCGGTTTTCAAATTTTCAATCCGATCCGATCCAAATTTCTCTCTTGATCCAATCCGATCCAATCCGAATTAAAATTCGATTATTTGGATCCGATCTGAAAATCCGAATTATAATACATTATTTTTTAAGCGCCTAATGCAATTATAAAAATAAAGCTTTACTATAAATAAAAGTCTTCAAATTCATAATTAAAATAAATAGTTCAACGTCAAGTCATTAATTAATTAATACAAAGTTTCTCTAATTTATTTTATGTAGTAGTAAGTATTTGAGCTAAAGTTCAAAATATACAGAAATCATATTTATACAAGCTTAGGGCTTGTTTGGCATCAGTTTTGGTTTTCAGTTTTCTGTTTTTTTTTTTAAACCAAAAACAGGAAACAAGAAAAAGGTGTTTCCACTTTTCTATTGTCAGTTTTTAAAATTATCATAATTTTGATAAGTTTATATAATTTTTGATTCATTATGGGACACATATCATATACTTTTAGAAAACAAAAAACCGAAAAACAGAAAACCACATCAATGCCAAACGAACCCTTAATTTTACAATTCGGTTTTCGGTTTGGATTGGATCCAATTAGGGTCAATCCGATCCAATCCGAAAATCCGAATTTCCAAAAAATCTCATTCCGATCCAATCTGATTAAAAGTTCAGATCCGATCCGAATTGATAATTCGGTTTGGATTGGATTGGATTGGATTTTGGTTTTTATCCAAATTATGGACACCCCTAACTGAACTCAGCTGAACTGAATTTCAACGTAAGAGAACAGGCCCTAACTCATCAATACTCATTCAGATCTGTCATAAGGTCATTGAAAACATTCTCACATCCAACAACATAAGAACGTCATTTTGGTTTGTGATGCAATTCAATCTCATAAATTAAAAAAACAAATCTTAGCCAAAAATAACAATGCAATTTGGTCAAAATCGCTAACGATGTTAGCTATAACAGTTTGATTAAATGTTGGGAAATTCTCTTTGGTGAACTCCAACTTTTCCATTTTCTAAGTGGTAAACATTCTTAAATTTTAGTATCAATGGTAAACCTAAATTATTGATTATCATTGATAAGTGTTATTTCCTTAACTATAGTTAGTTTTTTATTTTTTTAATTATATTGAAATTATTAAAAAAAAAACCCAATCCCTCCCCCAACCCACTGCCCAGCCCCTCCCCCAACCCAGCCCCCTCCCGGTGGCCGGAAAACGCCGCCGACCTCTCCTAGTGCCGGCGACCTCTACCTCCTCCCTTTCCTCCACCTACAACACCTCCATTCTCCCCGTCAGAATTGGCCCCCCTCCCCTCCCGCCACCGCGAAACCCCATGACCAACCCCCATCTCGTCGGCAAATGGTCGGCCGTCTCCCCTATCCCCCGAAAATGGCCGGCCAGCCACTCCTAACCCCAAAAACCACCCCTAACTGGCCCACTCCAACCCCAAAAATCGCCCACTCTCCCTCGAAAATAACCTCTTACCACCATAAAACCCAAACCTGTTTCCCCTACACCACGACCCTCTCCCTGTCGGAATCGGCCCTCCTCCCCTGACCCCCACCCCGATTCGACCCCTATCCCCTTTGCCTCCCCGAAAACCAGCCCCCTAAACCACCTAAAAACTCAAACCCGATTTCTGGGTTTGGTTTAAAAACCCTAAACGAGTTTGGTTTTTTTTTTTGGTGTTTTTGGGTTGGGTTTAGTGTTTCTAGGGCGGCGAACAGTGGTTGGGGGAGGTCGGCGTTTCCAGGGGTTGGGGAGGATGGCACACCGATGAAGGTTGGGCAGCCGGTGCGCCGGCGTGGGTGGTGCAGGGGAGGGGGAGCTGGCAGTGGGCGGGGGGAAGGGTGGTTGATTTTTCTTTTTTTTTTAAAAAAAAAATTTAGTATAATTATTAAATTATTAAAAAAATAATTAAAAACCTAACTATATTTAAATGTTATTGTTAAAAAAATAAAAAAAACCTAACTACAGTTAAATTTTTTATAAAATATAATAATTAATGGCACCACTAATAATTATAAAAAGTTAAAGAGTACCAAAGATAATTTTAAAAAACTTTGTTTACCACTTAGAATTTTATAAAATTGAAGTTTATCAGAGAGAATTTCCCTTAAATGTTTAGGGCACACTCTAACACAAATAGTAATTATTCTAATCATATTTAACGAGGTTAGATATGTTTCGATCTGGGATTAGGGATGACTTACGAGAGGTTTAAAAGCAAATATCCCCCCCCATTCATCTAAAATTTCTATATCCACCACTACCTACTTGCTACCCAGGGAGAGTATGATCTAAATCTTCATCAATTCCACCACTTGAGTAGATATCCATTTCCCATCTATTACGAGCATATAATTTTCTATTATTTGCCACACCCATTTGAACTATTTATTTAGTTATAAAGTATGCATACAAATTAGGTGTGATGTTGTGAATACAAAGTGGGGATTGAAATATTGGATGGACGAGTAGATCCGAAAAAGTTTGAGTTGGATATGAGGTAAGTATGATTTCAAATCCACAACCTATCCACTGTTTATAACGGGTATGACTTTTAATATTCATACCTTTCTTTGTCATATTCATTCCCGCTTCAATCAAATGGATTCGGTGTAGATCCATAAAAATATACGACATCATACTCATACCCGTTTCAATCGGATGGATCGGGCGTAAATCCATGAAAGTATACCCACATGTCTAGCTATCACTACTATCTTGGCTCGTAGAGTCGTAGGATTTGGTGCCCATGAATATCACGAAGTACCAAAATTATGCTAAACTAGTCGAAGAAAAACCAATGCTCTCAAATTGACTGCTCAAACAAACAATGGCTAAACTGCTAAGAACTCTCCCTATCTTCACCCTTCGTCCCAATGTCAAACCTTTCTTCTTCTTCCCCACAACTTCTACTCTTATCCCCCTTTCTCTCTCCTCCCTCAAATTCAATCCTCACCCTTCAATTTCTCACAGAACACTCTGCAATTGTTCTAATGTATCAGCTACCTTACAAGGTACAGAACAGCAAACCCGGGTACCCGACCCGTTTCAACCATCAAAAGATACAAACTTGGAGTGGGTTAATCGGACTGCTTTATGTGGGCATTTGGGTGAGGATGATGTGGGTAAACGGGTCACTCTTTGTGGGTGGGTCGCTCTTCATCGGGTTCATGGTGGAGTCACTTTTGTTAATCTTAGAGATCATTCTGGCATTGTTCAGGTATAATTTATCAAATTTTTATATTTTTGCTTATAAATTTGGTATAATTATGTGATATTATATGATATGTTGATCATGTATATTACCTTGTTATACAAAGAATCATGTTCATTTTTGGAGTATATTTTGTTGTTGTGTTGTATTATTCTGTTGGGTGGTGTGAGGAGTGAATCCCATTTAAGAGAATTATGGTGAATTGCTCTAGTATGTAATTTTAATTGTTGGCTGAATACTGTGTCTTCACCAATTTGAAGTGTGATGCAAGAATTCTCACTTTGAAGGATTTGAATTACATTCTTGTGTTATTAATGCTCTCCTTATTTATCTCTTTTCAAAGAGTTATTTGTTCAACTTAGGCGCGCCTAGTTGAAAGACAATGTTGGTTGTTTAGGCTCGGTTTTCGGTGTTTCAGCCCCTTGTTGGTGGACTTCTTGCCATTTTGGATTTATTGGTAGTTATCTAGAACATTGGTAGTAAGCTTTAGTAATTTTTGTAATAAGATATGTTGTGATAAGTTCCTTGCTGAGTAATGAGTGTGACTGTGTGAGTTATCACACCAAAGCCCATCATCAATAGTTTGGGGCTCAAATTGCACTGTTTACTATATGCTTTTGTTTGTGCAAGAAACTTTCTATTAATTTTCAGCTGGTTTTGTGCTTCAATGAACCAAGGAGGGATTAGGTTTTCTTTCTAAATTCGAGAATTGGTATGCATGCAAATTGATTTTGTTTTCCTTATTTTAAAACGAGGGTTATCTTGAAAGGAATGCTTTTGATGCTTTTTGAGCAGATTACAACACTTCCCAATGATTTCCCTGAGGCACATTCTTTGGTGAACAATGTGAGGCTCGAATATGTGATTGCTGTTGAAGGAGTAGTGCGTTTAAGACCGGGTGAAGCTGCTAATAAAAAGATGAAAACTGGAATGGTGGAGGTATGTTTATGCTGTTTGTGACTTTGTTAATAAACTTGTGCCTGAAGCTGTGATCCTCTTAAAACAAATGGTGTAATGAAAATTGCAATCCCTCAAAAATAAAATAAAGCCCTCACTCCTCACTCGCCAGTTTGTCTGTTTCTTGAAAGGCTTTAACTTTGGTTAACATTTGAATGGGAATGACGTCTAGCAGATATTGGAACATTGTTGACTATGGAAAGTGATCAATGGGTACTTGTGCTCTCATATGTACACGTAGAACACAATGCACTATTTTGGTTCTAATTACTTTATTTTTTATACTCTTCATTTGAATGTCACAAGTTGTTTATCTTGCCAACTTCAACATGCCAATTCATGTCCTCAATGGCACTATTGTTATTTGCAGGTTGCTGCAGAGCATGTCAAAGTTTTAAATTCTGTGAAGGCCAAATTGCCCTTTTTGGTTACTACTTCAGATGATGTGAAAGACTCTGTGAAGGAGGATATACGTTTAAGGTAGCTCTTTATGATTTGATATTACTTTGATAGGATATTGTGGTGGATGTAAAGGTCTTATTAGAGTCGGGATCTGTGATTTTACCAAGCTACTTTATTTTAGTTGGCTGTTTGCTTTGGCAATTTTAATGCCGGAGAAGTAAACATTGATTCTTGCTGAATGTCAATTTTGAATGTCTACTTGCTATATATATATATATTTTTTTTTTATATATTCCTGTGAGTTTTATGGCTCATACCTATTTGGACCTTGTATTGCAAGGTTAAGTTTGTTACACCAAAACAGATACGAAGTATGTAGTTATATACCATATTGTAGTTGTTCTAGTGAAGGTGAAATTATTTACTGCTCATTGCACATTTCACTTCCCTTCTGTATGCATGACAATAATTAAATAATGTACAATTTGGATATGGTTGTCTTGTTCAGAAATACTGGGCAGAGCCTGTGTAAATTGGATGCTGAGATGTTCTGAACCCAACGATGTGTCTTCTGTACAGGACCTACCCCAGCCATCCCTCTCCTAACCATTAGAAAAGTAAACCACAGATCACTGAAATTTGACTTAAAGATAGTGTTGGTATTGTAACCTCCTTAGGATATATGTCAAAGGAAGCTGCATGTGGTCTGATAGCAGTTTTTTCCAGGGTGTGTCAATAGAGGGAAAAAAATAGGAAAGTGGGAAGTGATAATTATTATGGTCTCTAGGGTCCTCTAATACCGCAGGATGATAAAAAAAACATATTTTAATGAGTGATGTTGGATGGCTCAGATGTCTCTCTATTCAAGTATACAGATGTGTGGGATCCCTATAAGTTATTTTAGGGTGGTATGAGCTCACTCGTGATTCAAGACAGCCCTTGATTTTTGAAGATGAGAAATCCAGACATAATAAACATTTAGCCTCTTCCTCAGTTATAATCAAGATGATCAATTCACTGATATCTTATGTTTTTCTAGATACCGGTGCTTAGATTTGCGTCGACCTCAAATGAATTCAAACATACTTTTGCGGCATAGAGTGATGAAACTCATACGAAGATACCTGGAAGATGCACTTGGCTTCGTGGAGGTGCGTGCTTGCTGTCATTATTCATATCATTGGCTGTATCTTGCATTGTTAATTATCACTGATGTTTACCTTATTTATCGGGCAGATTGAGACTCCAATGCTTTCTAGGTCTACCCCAGAGGGAGCTCGAGATTATTTAGTGCCTTCAAGAGTTCAGGTATTGGCCTATTGTTTTTCTACTCTTTTTCACTTTTTGGTTATCAGATATATTCTCTTGGACTAGTTTAAGACTATGATGTATTAACTACTTGTCAACTGTGACCTAGAACTGTTTGATAACATGCAATGTATTTGTAGAATTCTTGGCTCATCTGAAGTCAAAATTTGAGATGATGAGATCCTATGAATTTTTGTAACATTTCTCATTGTAGATGTTCTACATTCCAAATAGGGGAGGACAAAGCCACCTATCAACATATCACATACCCCTCGAGTAACATAGTAATATTAGTATGAACATGTGTATATGCTCTTGCGATATGTCCAATGGGAGAATACGAAATTATCTGATATGAAAGTATATATATATATCTAGTTGAGCAATTTATATCCTGTTCTTCAGTTACACATTATATCTGGTACCGCTTATACTCACCCATATGCGTATATGAAGCCAGGAATGTTTTATGCCTTGCCTCAAAGTCCTCAGTTATTCAAGCAAATGCTAATGGTTTCAGGCTTTGACAGATATTATCAAGTAGCAAGGTAATACAGTTCTTAACTGCAGATCTTTACTTGTGTTGTTGTGATTGTGTTGAACAGTAGACTTTGTGTCTCTGGTTGATGTTTTTAACTGTTTCCATCTGTTACAAATTCTAGTATTTTGCATATCCTTTCCTCTCTCCTAAAAAAGTAAAAGAAACATATATTGCAAAGGGAGGTCATACTGAACTAGAAAGTAGAATTTTACTGAATAAGACATAATTTGAACTAATTTAGGAGATTCTTTCTGGATTCTCTTGCAGATGCTTTCGGGATGAGGATCTGAGAGCTGACAGGCAGCCTGAGTTCACCCAACTAGATATGGAACTGGCATTTACTCCTTTGGAAGAGATGCTAAAGCTAAATGAAGATTTGATTAGGAAGGTCTGTATGTTGATAGAAATATTAATAGTTCTAAAGGCTAATATCTGAAGCAAGTATTAAGAAATTGAAGACGAAGTAATACAATTAATGTGCACAATTCCATGCTTTCATTGTAAATGAATTGCAGTATCATCTTAATCTGTTCAAACCAATAAATTGCTCTCTCTCTCTCTCTTTCCTCACTTTCTACTAAACAGTCATAATAACGTCTGCTCATGCTAAACTCTCATATGTTAGATTCGGAATGCTGTAATTGTCAAGTAGTTTAGGAGTTATTTTTAGGAATATGGGAAAATTGATTATGCTAGAAATGCTGGGTGTATTGTCTTTCAAACTCTCTGTTCATAGGCAGAGTGGAATATTTCATGTTCTCTTCATGTCTAAGTTGGTTTATGCTCAAAATGTTTAACTCTCAAATTTTCTCAAGGTGTCATGTAGCAAGTACAAAGCTTGTAAAGTTGCAAATCTTCTTGAAATTGGAAGATGGTGCTTTTGCCTTTGTTAACGTGTAGTATTTGTTTGTGCGAAACCTATTTGTAATTGCATTTAAGATATTTCTTTGTTGCTTCTTTTGTTTTACTAGATTGCTTTAATTTTTAATTTCATTTGGGGGGTGGGGGTGGGGTGTTTAGGGGGGATAGTGGATTTTGATCCCTTGGATGTGAATTATATTTGGCCATGTCTTGCAAATTGTGCTCATCAACAATAATGGAAGATTTCATTTTTAATGCTTTATGATCTGATTGTTTCTTGAAGGTTAAAGCTTCCTAGGACATTTGACTGAGCTATTGTTGTCTTCAGGTTTTCCGGGAGATCCAAGGTATTGAGCTTCCCAACCCTTTCCCCAGGCTTACTTATGCTGAAGCAATGAACCGATATGGAACAGACAGACCAGATCTTCGTTTTGGTCTTGAGCTAAGAGATGTAAGATTTTTTACTCCATTAGAATTATACTGTTGGTCATCCACAGATATACTGTTCACTTTACTGTAAGTTAGTTGCAACACATTGATTAAGTTGAAGTTTTTTCTTAATGTAGGTCTCTGATGTATTTTCTGGGTCTACATTCAAAGTTTTCGAAGATGCATTGGTTAGTGGAGGTGTGATAAAGGCGTTATGTGTACCCGCAGCTGCAAGTGTTTATTCTAATACAGCACTGAAGAAGGGTGATATCTATAAGGAAGCATTCAAATCTGGGGCTAAAGGTTTGCCATTCCTAAAGGTCACAAGTGATGGTACGTTCATATATGTTTTTATCATTAGTTTACATATTAAAACGTTAAGGATTCAGAATATCTTCACTCTTCAGACTTAAATTTTTGTGGTTCTTCAGGGGAGCTTGAAGGAATTCCTGCTTTAGCTTCAAGTTTGAATCAACAAAATAAAGAAAAACTATTGAGCCTCTGCTCTGCTCAATCTGGTGACCTTATCTTGTTTGCTGTGGGTATGGAGAAGTCTGTGAACAAAACTCTTGATCGACTAAGGTTACATGTGGCACATGAACTGGGTATGGCTGACCATGTAAGTTTCGCGTGTTTTTTATTCATTATGATTGAGTTTGTGACGTCCATCTATATCAGTTTGTCACTTGCCTTTTCTCTCCGCCTCAGTCCAAGCATTCAATTCTTTGGGTGACTGATTTCCCGATGTTTGAGTGGAACGATGATGAACAGAGGCTTGAGGTTCGTTTGCAGTATCATATTTATCTCTCTTCTATTCTGCTCATAATAATGATGGTCTTTCTTTGTAATGATACAAATTGCACTATGGTCATACAAAATTACATACTTTTTTTTTGACAAGTTCCTGATATTTTGGCGAGGGCTTCCATTCCATGTTCTTCATTTGGCATTTGATTAACTTTTTTAATTTCTGGCAGTTACATTAAAAGCTTCAACAGTTGTCACATTGTTCATATGATCATTATACATTCAGTTAGAAGGTTCTTGGTGTAGTTGCATAATTTTTGCGGAGTATTTCATAACTGCTATCCTGTGTCCTGGATTCTAGCTGTTTCCTGTAAAAAATTTATATTCATAATGTAACTGTATGGGAATGCTAAACATTGGGAGGATTTTGGGAATGCTAAACATTGGGAGGATTTTGGGGTATGTTCCCAAAGAATAACTAAGTGTGACAACTAGCATTAATTCAAGGGGTCCTGCTGAGTGAAATTCCTACTATTCCATTATCACGGTTCACTCACTCACTCGCCACCTTTTTCCTTCTAATCCCTGTTGTAATTTAGAATAAAAAAAAAAAAAAATTAAAATATGTTATAGACTAATTCGGAAATGTAATTTAGACAAGAAAATGTAAACTAAGGCTGAATGCTTGAGTACTTGATTGATTGAAGATTGAATTACAAGGGATAAACATAACTTGAGGTTATGAATCTCATAATAGCTTTAGGCCACAACTCTCATGTGTTTACTCTCAATTTTCTGGATACCCTTCTAATGGGACTTACTACCTTACATATACTCAAGCTAAAGAGATGCATGTGATTTACTAAGCTAAGAACGGAAATTTTCTTCTAATGACATTGTTAAAGCAACTTGGTTTCTTTCCCTGAACTCTCTTAATTAACTTTGTCCTGGAGCTTCTTGTCCCTGATTATCTTTGACCCTTGCTGCCCCTGTTTTGCGCGCCTTGAGTACACCAAAAGTGGTGGTTGACTTGGCTCTTTGACCTGGTTGACCCACTCCATTACATCACTCCCCCCTTTGAGTTTCACCTTGTCCTCAAGGTGGAAGGAAGGAAAACGCAAACTGACTGCCTCGAACTCTTCCCATGTGGCTTCATAATCGGGCAACCCTTTCCATGTGAGCAGTACTTCCAGCACCAGCACCGAGTTCTTTTTGACCAGGCGCACATTGAGGAGCCCAGCTGGTTCAACCATCAATTCTAGGTTGGGGGATAGCTGCTGCGGAATGGTGGGCTGACTTGGGAGGCTGCCAAGTGCTCTCTTCAACTGTGAGATATGAAACACTGGGTGTATTTTGCAATCACTGGGTAATTTCAATTTGTAAGCGACCCTGCCAATTTGCTCTATTACCTCACAGGGCCCGTAGAATCTTGCAGCCAATTTCTCAAAAGGTCTTCTAGCGAGAGACTTCTGTCTATACGATTGCAGCTTGAGGAATACCCGCTCCCCAACTTCGAATTTTTCCTCCCTTCTCAGTTTATCCGCGTTAACCTTCATCACTTGCTGGGCACGGTTCAAATTCATCCGTAACTCTTCTAAGATCCCATCTCTCTCTTGCAAGCCCTCCTCAAGACTGCTGACCATGGTTTGGCCCGCACCCAAACGCCACAGCTTCGGAGGATCACGACCGTACACCACCTTAAATGGTGTCATCTTGGTCGAGGTATGCGGCGAGGTGTTGTAGGAATATTCCGCCCAAGGTAGCCAGCGAGCCCAATTTCGCGGTTGTTCAGCGATGAAGCATCTCAGGTATGTCTCGAGGCTTTTGTTTACCACCTCGGTCTGCCCGTCGGTTTGTGGGTGGTAGGCCGTGCTTCGCCGTAGATGTGTTCCTTGCAACCTGAAAAGTTCCCTCCAAAAGATACTCATAAAAACTCTATCACGGTCAGAAACAATTGATGTCGGAAACCCATGGAGGCGAACTACCTCCCTCACAAAGGCGTCGGAGGCGAACTACCTCCCTCACAAAGGCGTCGGCCACTTTGAGGGCGTTGAAAGGGTGCCTCAGCCCAATAAAGTGGGCGTACTTCGAGAGTCGATCCACCACTACTAGCACCGAGTTTACCCCACGAGACAAAGGCAACCCTTCCACGAAATCCATGGAAATATCCTCCCACACGGCCTCGGGAATTGAGAGGGGTTGAAGCAACCCGAGAGGACTCTTGGTGATGGCCTTGTTCCTCTGACACACATCACATTCTCGCACAAACCTTCCGACATCTTTCTGCATGCCTGCCAGAACCAGTCGGCGGCGAGCCGGAGATATGATTTTATCTCGCCGTCGTGGCCACTCGTAGGGGTGCTGTGGTATTCCTTCAGTAGCAGGGGAATGTACTTCGAGGAAGAAGGCAGAACTACTCTGTTCTTATAAAATAATCTGGACCCTTCTAAGTGGTAGCCTTTTGGGCCCTCTTGTCTTTCCTTCAAGCCCACTACAATCTGGCCCAAACCCTTGTCCACAAAGCAAGAGTGGATCATCGACCCAAATTCTAACACATCCTCCTCCTTCTTTCCTTCGAGCCTTTTCAGTGAGGATGTCAACCGAGCTTCACCTTTACGGGATAGTGCATCGGCCACCCTATTCGCGGCGCCAGGTTTGTAATTGATGGTAAAATCGAACCCCACCAATTTTCTCAACCACTGTTGGTATTCCCCTCCAACCTCCCTTTGCTCCGCGAGATACCGCAAGCTCTGTTGATCGCTTCGAATTTCAAAATGGCGACCGAGCAAGTAATGGTGCCACCTAGTCACTGCCAAAGCAATTGCCACTAATTCTTTTTCGTAAACGGACCTCCCTCTAGCCCGGATTCCCAGCATCTTACTGTAAAAAGCAACCGGTCGACCATTTTGCATCAAAACCGCACCGAGACCGAACCCGGAAGCGTCGGTTTCAACTACAAAAACCTCGCTGAAATTTGGAACTGCCAACACCGGGGCGGTGGTAATCGCCGTCTTTAACTTTTGGAAGGCTGCCGTAGCTTCTTCCGACCACCCGAAACAATCCTTCTTCAGTTGGGCGGAAAGAGGGTTGGCTATGTGAGCATAACGGGATATGAATTTCCGGTAGTAACCGGTTAACCCCAAAAAACCCCGTAGCTCTCTTAGATTCCGTGGTGTTTCCCACTCAAGAATGCATCGAATTTTTTCTTTATCCATGGCGACCCCTTGCTCGGAAATGACGTGCCCCAAATATGCAATCTCCCTCTTGCCAAATTCACACTTTTTAAAATTGGCATATAATTGATTTTCCATTAAATTTTGCAAAACCAATTTCAAATGACGCTTATGCTCCTCCTCGGCTTTACTATACACCAAAATATCGTCAAAGAAAACAAGCACGAATTTCCTCAAGTAAGGCCGGAAGACTTCATTCATGAGTGATTGGAAGGTCGCCGGGGCATTAGTGAGCCCAAATGGCATGACCAAAAACTCATAATGGCCCTCGTGGGTTCGGAACGCCGTTTTATGAGTATCTTCCGGCTTGACCTGAATTTGATGATAGCCCGATTTTAAATCGAGCTTGGAAAAAATCGTTGCCCCATGCAACTCATCTAATAACTCCTCAATTACCGGAATCGGATATTTATCCGGAACCTTTCTTTGTTGAGCGCTCGGTAATCGACACAAAATCGCCAAGACCCATCTTTTTTCTTGACTAGCAAAACCGGACTTGAAAACGGGCTTGATGAAGGCTTGATGATGCCGGACTCGAGCATTTCCCGCATGAACCTCTCGATCTCATCTTTCTGAATCTGGGGATATCTATAAGGCCGAACACTAATTGGGTTGGCCCCATCCCTTAGCACAATAGAGTGCTCATGGCCTTTACTTGGGGGTAGCCCGTTGGGCATTAGAAAAACCCCTTGAAACTGGCCCAATATTTCCTCCAAGAAGACTGGTGGGCCGGCTGGGATTGGGCCCAACTTCTCTTCCTCTAACCTGTTGTACTAAACCCAATACCCCTTTTTCTCCTTCTTTAACACCTTCACCATGGCCTTGAGTGAAATTTGTGATTTTTCAAGGGTCGGGTCTCCGGTGAGGGTTACCGGAACTCCACCCATGGTGAATTTCATGACATGGGTCCGCCAATTAGTAACCACAGTCCCCAACTTCTCAAGCCATTGGACTCCTAAAATCACCTCGGCACTACCTAATGTGAGTGGGAAAAAATCTTCGGTTATGGAGAGTCCCCCTTGTAGCTCCACCTTGACTCCTTTACAAACACCCCTTCCCCGAATGGTGTCCCCGTTTCCTAGGGATACGGAAAACTCCCCGCCTTGAGTATCGGGGATAGCAACTTGCTCTACCACCGAGACCGATAAGAAATTATATGTTGCCCCCGGGTCAACCATAACTACTACTTCTTGCCCTTTAACTACACCCCTCATCTTCATGGTTTTTGGGTTGTGAATCCCGATCACCGAACACAAGGACATCGTTCCAACGTCCTCCGAAGGAAGGTCATTTTCCGTCTCCGGTTCCTCATCCTCCAACTCGCCTTCCCCTTCCGCCACGATCAACACACTAAGCTCCTTCCTCTTACAACGGTGGCCCACACCCCACCTCTCATCACACCTAAAACACAACCCCTTCGCTCTCCTTTCCGCCAATTCTCCATCGGTCAAACGCCTTGTACTACCCGTAGAATTCTGACTTGGGCCTCGATATGTCCGGCCTATGTTCACGGAGCCATGAGACTCTGGGGCCTTGGGCCACGATTTGGGCGGCCCACTGCTGCTGGGAACCCATATGAAGCTATTAACCCTCCTTTGCTCACACTTGGGCTACTGTGATTTGGGCTAGAATTCGTTGGCCCAACAGCCAAGCCCCCCTTCCAATTACTAAGAGGCTTCTTACCTTGCTGGACACGATTTTTTTCCTCAATTCTTCCAGCCATTATCATGGCTTTTTCAAGGGTGAGAGGGTTAAGGAGTCTTAACTCGGTTTTGACCTCTCTACTCAGCACATTTATGAACTGCCCGAGCATCAGACTTTCCGGCACATCCTCTAGTGGCGCCGCCATCTCAATGAACCTTCGCCGGTACTCCGCCACGGTCCCCGAGCCCTCTTGTGACACCGCCGGCCATTGTTCGTGAAGCGTTCTCGAATGCGAGGGTCGAAACTCGTTCAATACCCGTTGTTTGAGATCCGGCCACCCGTAGAACGACCGCCGCTTCTGCTCCCATTGAAACCACTTTAAGGCGGCCCCATCCATCGCGACCACTGCGGCTTCCATCTTCTCCTTCTCCGTTAGTTTGTAAAATTCAAAGTACATCTCGGCCCTAGCCGTCCAGTTATCCGGTTCCACCCCGGCGAAAAGGGGCATTTCCAATTTCCGGTGTTTCTAGTGGCCATAGCCACCGCCACCACCTCCTCCGCCGCCCTCATCGGCACTTCTCCAGTCGCCGCCGCGCCATCCACTATTGTCGGGAGGGTGCCACCCAGGGTCGTCGTATGGCCTCCCCGGTGACATTCGCACCCCCTCCAACTCGGGTTGAGTGCTGTTATCCCCTATTAAGGGCGGACCCAACGGCTGGGGTGTCGGTTGCGGTTGGCGAGGTTGTGCCGCCGCCTTCTCCACCTGTTCCTGCAACTTCGTGATCTTGGCGCGGTCGATTGCGGCCCGGGTGTCCACCGTGACCCGGAAATGGTCAAGGCGGTCATCCATTTTCTCGACGGTGGTTTTCAATAATTCCTCCGTCTTCTTCCGCTCTTCTGCTATGTTCCGTCTCTCCTCCTCCATGGCCACCTTAACCGCCGCTGTCACTGCCCGTGATATGTTGTCGTCGGGAGTTTGCAATTTCTCAACAAGCGTTGCCAACTGAGTTTTCAGGTCAGCCAGCGTACCCTCCATGACATCCATCCTCTGTGAAAGATTTTCCTCCATTTTTTTTATTTAATTTTTTTTTTTTAATTCAGGGTACGGGGTGGTGGTTCCCGGTCGCCGGCGGCCGCAGGACCACCGCTCTGATACCAAGTTGTTATAGACTAATTCGGAAATGTAATTTAGACAAGAAAATGTAAACTAAGGCTGAATGCTTGAGTACTTGATTGATTGAAGATTGAATTACAAGGGATAAACATAACTTGAGGTTATGAATCTCATAGTAGCTTTAGGCCACAACTCTCATGTGTTTACTCTCAATTTTCTGGATACCCTTCTAATGGGACTTACTACCTTACATATACTCAAGCTAAAGAGATACATGTGATTTACTAAGCTAAGAACGGAAATTTTCTTCTAATGACATTGTTAAAGCAACTTGGTTTCTTTCCCTGAACTCTCTTAATTAACTTTGTCCTGGAGCTTCTTGTCCCTGATTATCTTTGACCCTTGCTGCCCCTGTTTTGCGCGCCTTGAGTACACCAAAAGTGGTGGTTGACTTCGGCTCTTTGACCCGGTTGACCCACTCCATTACAAAATAAATCGTCATGCCTAAGTAATCACAAAAAAGGGGGGGGGGGTATTCTTCTATCCAGTTTGAGTAAACTGGGTACAACACCATTTCACTCTGGTAGTACCTTTGCTGTTGATTGTCTGGTATGAGAGGAGAGGAAAGAACCACCTACTATCTTACTAGTCTTTTTGTGCTCCATGGTATTTCAGATGCATATGTTCTCATGAATGTACTGTTTGCAGGCTTTGCATCATCCATTTACTGCTCCAAACCCTGAAGACATGGAGGATTTATCCTCTGCCCGAGCTTTGGCATATGACATGGTTTACAATGGAGTAGAGGTGCACTTTCTTTTCTATCATTACATACTTTCTGATATCTTTACCATTGATAGGATTTTTTTCTCCAATTTTTCAGATTGGTGGAGGAAGTTTAAGAATATACAAGCGGGAGGTGCAAGAAAAGGTTCTGGAAATTGTAGGCATATCATCAGAACAAGTAAGCAGCATTGCTATTACATTGGATTTAACTATCTTTAAAGGACATCCAGCGGTGAATCCCTTTTTTTTTTTTTCCCCAATACTTTGTGGATGCTCCTTTTGTTCTGAGATTCGATCATGATATCTACTTTAGATCAGTTTAAAAGACTTCCTTTAGGTTTTGATACTGTTGTCACAGGAGCCTTTAGAAGTATATAATAGTTTCATCATCATTATCTTTCTGTTCTACAATGACAAGATTAATCCTTTAAAGCTGTTCCATTGTGAACTGTGCTTGTGGTCTGCTTCCTTTATAGAAATAGTTCTGCAACACCCATAATTATAATGTAAACTGGGAATAACATCACGAAATACAAATATGGAAGTATGTAACCAATTAGCAACTCTTCATGGTTTACAAGGAGTGTTGTTATTATCAGATTCTTTCAAAAGGAAAGATTCGAAATCAACAATTGAAAAAGTACTTGAATGTGGTCAATTAAATTATGACTACACTATTCTGATGTTTCTAATTTAGTAGATATTATATGGGAACTCAGCATGAGTTTGTTGATACATCCAACTAAATCTTTTTATACCTAGTTTTTCCTTTGTAAATGGGCTAGTCTCTTTTATTTGATTCCAAAATTCTGTATGCAAGTAAATTTTTTTCAATAACAGTCACATTTTCTTGTGATTTAAAGTAATAATATCAAGGACTGTATCAATTTTCTCATGATCCACAGGCTGAAGCAAAATTTGGCTATCTTTTGGAGGCTTTTGACATGGGCGCTCCTCCACATGGTTTGTATAATTTCCTCAAAATTATGTAGATTCAACTCTTGTTTTAACAGTACAAAGGCTAAATTCTGTGTTTGCCCTCCTATGAATTGCGTCTTGCTGGTTATTTGTTTTCTTCAAAGTACTTTATGAATATCTTGTTTTAAGTGCAGGAGGCATAGCCTATGGCCTGGATAGGCTAGTGATGCTGTTGGCTGGAGCAAATTCTATCAGAGATGTGATTGCTTTTCCTAAGACCTCCACTGCTCAGTGTGCCCTAACGCGAGCGCCTTCTGAAGTAGATCCTCAGCAGCTCAAAGACCTTGTCATTTCAACATAGTGCTATAGTAACTAGTACCCTGTTCAATTTTGTTCGTGATGAGGGAGCACATACATTTTATAGTATGCAAACCAATGCGGTAGCTGGATCTCGTATGGTGGTGCACTAGCAAATTCTTTACCAAGGTTTATACAATTATACCTGGTGATAAGAGGGAGAGAGAAAGTATCCTGACCTAGAATTGTTTTTCAAAAATTTTACTGTTTAATTTGTTCTACGTATTTTTCTTCTCTTCCCCTATTTCCTTTCGTGGCAGAGAAAGGCTGGCCTTAAAACCAGTTTGGACAACAAGTATTTGTGATCAATCGGTCTTAGAAGAATATTTGAGGTCAAACGTACGGTGAAGGTTTTTCGAAATTTCAATATAGTTTACTTGTATATGTTCATAGATTTAGGTCGGATTGTTAAGACTTTGCAGCAGTCATGTAGATTTTTTATGTACATTAACATTCAAGCATATTATACTTTTTTTTTAATAACCTAGAATGGCTGATAAAGTTGGCATGTAATATTGGTCAAGTATTGTTGGTGTCATACAGTGACACACTAAGGTACTAGTCAGTCTTTAGAACTATACTGATGCGCGGTACAATGCCACAACAATATGCAGCAAATTGAATCAAAACACATATACATTGCCTCGTAATAAAAAGAATTGTTTTAGCTATACAAAATCCAAAGATATAATCTGTACATACAAAACTCCAAGGAGCACCTGGAAGCGGGAAAAACGCAGACACAATACCAAGTACTAACCAAGCAATTGCCTTACAAATACACGTGTGGGTGAGCTCCCAAAAAAACAGGGAGATAAGGTAAATTCTATAAAGTTCCTGGTGACAATCTTACTAATTCTAGCATCACATGGATGATGAGTACTCACAATCGTATTACAAACTTTACAACTGGACATGGAAGGGAGAGCACAAGAGAGGAGAAGCCCTAAAATGCTTGATCAATACAGTAGGCATATGACATTAGCTTCGAGTTGCAAGATGATGAGAACAATTAATCCGAGAACACATTAATCAATCCCCAAGCTTGAGTAAGGTTCAAATCCAACCTGAAAACCAAGGCCAGTGAGCAAAGGCAGAGAATATCTTTTTCACAAACTATACCAAAATTAAACAAAAAATAGAAAAAAAAATATAGAAAGATTGTTTTTTGTATCAATCATTGCAGCATGTACAGGCAACAGAAAAATTTACAAACAATTAGCAATCTTCATGGTGGATTCATAAATTGTCCAAGACAGTACATCAGTACCAGCCTTGAGGTATACTTAATACACGACACCATATTGATCAGTTGATCACAAAAAAATAAGTGAATATATTGTGCTACTGTTGCTATAATGAGACATATACAACAATTTACACAGTAATTTACTGAAATATACTACTCACTGAACAGTCATCATGTACGCGCCAAATGGTCTCGCCCAAAAGGTTTGCAACTGACAATATCGTAAGCTGAGGGAAGTAATTTTTCTCCAAGACAGGAATTGTATTTGTGATTATTACTTCTTGAAACAAACCACTGGATAACCTCTCAATTGCAGGGGGGCTGCACACGTGAAATCAACAAAGATTTATAAGGACTCAATCAAGAACTCAAAACCCGGATCGTTGGTCACAGGAGGCAGTACCCATTTCAAATAAAATAAAATATATAAATACATAAATACCACATATAAGCAACATAGATTAATCCATCAAAAACAAGTTGTAATTCCTGTCAAAGGTTTTACATATAAAGTAAATAAGCTATGTGCCAATGCATTTACCTGAAGACAGCATGTGTACTACATGCATAGACTTCCCTTGCTCCTTCTTGGTGCAAGAGGGCTGCTCCTTTGGAAATCGTACCTATAAGCACATCAAGAGGAAAATATCAATTCCAAACTCTAATGCAATATCTATCATTGACGTGGCAGAGATCTAAGTAAATTTGAGTAGGCGAGGTCAGTCTACATAAGACTCAATAAGAGAGTGCCAACAGAAAAACAAATAATGCAACATCTTCGCTTACCAAGATCTAAGAAATTAGGATTACAAGAAACAGAAGAACTAACCAGCTGTGTCTATCATATCATCCACCATAACAGCCACTTTTCCCTTAACATCACCGATCAAATTCATTACCTGCAAATCTTTCAGAATATTATGAGGGGCAATAGTAGATGCATTATACAGAGTCAACAGAACTACAGAAGTAGAACGTGACTGCATCGTTACTATTCATTATTCCATTAAAGTAATTAAGCTACTACTCCCTCCGTTTTTAAATACTTGCTCTATTTCTCCATACGTGGAGTTTTAGGAGAAATTGGAGAAAGTAATAAAATATAGAAGTAGCGGGGTAGTTGAGAAAATAAAAAATTGTAAAAAGCAAAAGTAGTTGAAGAATGGGAGGAGAGAGAGTATTATGTTTGGTCCACTAAGTGTGAGAAATGAATTAAATATTGTAAAAGCTTTCCAAAAAAGGAAATAGAGCAAGTATTTAAAAACGGCCAGAAAAGGAAAGTGGAGCAAGTATTTAAAAACGGAGGGAGTAGTTATTATCATAACTCCAACTGCAAATTGATCACAGGCTTTCTAGTTGTACCAATAAAGCAAATCAATCAACTTAGCCCAAGACCAACAATATGGAAGTACTGAAATTTCCACCTCTTAATTCCCCTTTCACAAAAACAGATACTTTTTTCCCACGGTTCAGATGAAGAAATAATTGCCACAAAGATTTACCTCGGCAACATTGTGCCCATGGCGCCTCTTATCCACTATGGCAAGTGGTGCATCAGATAACTTCTTTGCAAAAGCACGAGCTCTGGAGACTCCACCAACATCTGGTGAAACGACAACTAAATCATCCGAGCATATGGTCTTGCTTGCCAGGTAATCAAGAATCACAGGCTGGTAGAGCACAAATAGAGAGGCAATTAGTGTTTATAATGTTTTCTTGACAAATTTTCTATTGGAATTGTTTCTCCCTAATTTTTTTAGAGCATTAAATCTGCGATTCATTCATTTATTGTAAATCTTATATCCCTACATCCTATTATTAACTTCCCAATGTCATATAGGGCAACCCAACCACCCCCCTTCGCGCACGCACACACACATAGGGAAAAAAATAAAATAAAAACAACAACAGCACCTTTCCCTCTCTCAATTCCAATATAACTATTTTATCAAGATCCACTACAAAGTTTTTCATTCTACTTGTAACAAATTTTCTTAAGCTACACCGCCCTCGGGTGGAAAGTTAAAATTAAGATGAATTATTATCTTTCAAATAATTAATAAAGTAATTTGGTATCTGCCATTTTACTAAACAGCTGATCTCTAACAAACTATTAGACCAATTTACATACACCACACTTCACTCCTATAGCACAGAAAGGGAAAAAGAAGAAGATACTCAAAGATGCACACACATCTTACCTGACCATATACATGATCTACCGGTATATCAAAATAGCCCATTGACTGCCCAGAATGAAGATCACAAGCAAGAACTCGATTGGCACCTGCTTCTGTTATCAGGTTGGCGACAAGTTTGGCTGCTATTGATTCACGTCCTTGAGTCTGAATTAGAGAAAGTAGAAATGTAATGTAATGCAAGCAGAAATAAAGAATTGTAGACATGTAATGTAATGCAACAGTATCATGGGAAGTCATTCTTGAACATCTAATAGCTTGGATTAGATCGAGGCTCAAGAAAGCAGTTTTTTCCTAAAAATGTTAATCAGGTCAAATAGGACTGAAATTTGAAGTATCATGATTAGCAGTACTTCGATAATAATCCCATAAGAACAAGAATTGTAGCATAGATCAGGAGCTCATTGTGAGAACAGTAATTTTGAGATGAGCAGGACATAGACCACAGTTACAAATATCTAATCTTAACATTACAGGGAAAAAATTGGACCCTTATATTCATTGTCAAATATGAAATGATGATAAGAACTGCCCTTTTTCCAGAAGGTTAACTAGGTTTATGAACCTCTAAGTCCAATAAACAAGGATGTATTTCTAACCAGAGTAGGCAACTTACCTTTCGATCAGCTCTAGCATACCCAAAATAAGGTATAACTGCAGTGATATTCTTGGCTGATGCTCTTCGGCAAGCATCAATCATTATCAAAAGTTCCATAAGATTCTCATTAGCAGGTGGACATGTGGGTTGAACAAGAAAGACATCACAACCTCTGACACTCTCTTGCAACTGAACATAAATCTCACCATCAGCAAAACGTTTAATTTTTATTTTCCCAAGCTGGAGACCCATGTAACATGCAATTTCCTGTTGAGCACAACAGTCTGTCGTCAAGATTTTGCTTCAAAATCATAAAATATGGAAACAAAATGATATATAGAAGGCAGCTGAGTACACATATATAAAACAAAAGGAAGAAAAGGGCATTCTGTTCATAACAGTGTAGATTCTGTTAGACCTACTGAGACTAATTTGGCAAAGAAAAACACAAATCCTAGAATAGATGGGGAGAGGGGTTTATATGTATGCAGCCTAACCCTCGAGCAATCCTGACTAGTAGACTAGCCCTTTACAGTTAAGGGAATCAAAACATAAGTTGTTCTTGGAAACGAATACCTATATCATTCTCCTTGGTAGACCAGTGTAGATTAGTGTGTTTTGCTTTACATTACAAAATTTCATTAAACACATGTTAGCGTAATTTTTTGAATAACATCTTGACAAAGAACTTCCAGTCAACCAAAACAAAGCCAAATAATCCAAAGTTCTATAAAATCTTAATTCATTATTAATCACATGTATCCTTAAATCAGATTTTCACCATACGCAAGTCTGCTACCCAAGCCTTTAAACTCCCCAACTTGAACAAATGAGAGCAAAAATCTAAAACTAAAGCATACTCAATCCATTTGGTTATAAAGATTGGCACAACTATATTCGATCCAACAACACACTTACAGATCAAGAAATCAAACAAATTGACCCCCTCAATTGGAAAATCAAAATCTTTAGACTTGAACAATAGCAATTGATGAAAATCAAAGTTCGACTAAGCAATTATACTCGCTCAGTTCAACTTTATGAGTAACTTTTTGAATATATGCTTTTAATCGTATCAACTACCATTAAACTATATAAGCTATGAATAATCAAACATTAATCCTAATCATCTTATAGACCACAGAAATTTTAATAAGAGATATTATATAGTAGGAAAAGGGAGTATTACATACACAAACCAAATATTCATTCAACATCATTAGCAGTCTAATTTAAGAAATAAACCCAAAACCAATTCATAAAACCCAAATATTAATTCAGCATCATCATTCTTGAATTAAGCTATAAGGGAAATGTAACCAAATTACCTGAGCAAGAGCAGGATTCGCGGTACCGGAGAAAATCCGAAGCCGGGTATCATTCCGATTGAAAGCACTGTCCAAATTGGTCGAAGCCAAAAAAGAAGGGTATGATTGCTGCTCCACTCCAGAAGTACGGGAATGGAGGGAAGAAGAGGGTTTTCCATTCTCC